ATATGAGTTAATCATAACAACATCAGTTGAGAATACGTTCCTTCAAATCCGAGAATATTTGTGCAATCAACTTAGATTTTAACTTTTCGAGGAATCACAAACTTTATGTTTGTTGCAACGATATTCAGCTTTACTTTGAAATTATGCAAACCATATTTTTAGCAAGGTGAAACATCATTACATGAGAAGTCAATGTCACCAAACGTCATAATGTTTACTGTCAACCCTCATTTATTTTGTTCCTTGTGTATTCGTGATTATGTTAAATGATATCATGGTTGTCGATTGATTTGTACAGCTTTTTCATAAACATTTCAAATACAAAATGTTCACATGAGAGTTTTTAGAATTGCAAATCATCATTTATGATGTTTTACCTTGTTAAAAATATGGTTTCCGAAATTTCAAGTCGAGCTAAAGATCGTTGCAACAAACATGAAGTTTGTGATTTCCTAAAAAAATGTAAATCCAAGTTAATTACACGAATATGCTTGAATTTGAACGAAGATATGATTTTCTTATGATGAACTTATGGAAGTGTTCAGGGTGAATATGAAAAAAATTGGGATTTAATTAACGAAAAAAATTTAGTCGAATGTGTCTTAGGAGGCCATGTTTTGGTGTTTTGTCATAACTTTTAATTGTCGACAACTTTTCTCATCACCATTTTGCTGAATTTTCTGAAATAAGCGTAGTTTACTCTTGAGCAATTTTTATATTTTTTGACCTACCCTGTATGCTGTTCGAATTGCAACCATTTTAAGTGCACCTAAAATGATCACTGTACATGCACCAATCTTCGGCACTATTTGTATTTTGGTTGTGCAATTCTTTAAAAAGATTCTCGTCTGTTGCACACTTAAATGGCCACACTGTATGTATATGTAATAATACTTTTTTTTATAACGTGGGCCAAAAGAAGTCATCCGATGTTGTTTAGTTCTCATTTTTATTCTAAATGAAAATCTCCGATTCATTTTCTGATTATGTTCATTTGAACCATTACATACAGAATCGGAGTTTTTCATAAAAAAAAAATTAGAGCCGAACAAATATAAATATGAATAAATATAAATATATTTTATTTAGGTTTAGAATATAATAATATGAATAATCAGAACGATACATATCTGGTATGAGATTATTCATGAGTTATTAAATCTAAGTTATTGAAATAAACAGCAGATACAAAAATAATAATAATCAAAAAACTTTATGAAAAGTACATTATGACCTGATGAAATAAATTAGTGAATGAGAAATCATTCAGTCAGGTTTGATTTTCTCATTGCAAGAGGATATGTTTCATTAATTTTGAATTGGGTGATATTTGTGCAACTTTTGATATCATGCATAAGATAATTCATTGAATTTTGAGATAGTTCCGTGAGTAAAGTTTTTTTGGCCAAGTGTAGAATTAGCAGCATAAAGATGAAACTATAGTCATACTGTCTAGTATGATGTTCATGGATTTGAGAATTCTTTATCAATATGAAGTTAGATTTGAGGTGTTTTTTGATAATATCATAAGAAATTGTGAGAGTATTGATCGAATAGTATGCTCTCCCAAAGAAAATGTATTTGTTTCTTCATAAAGTTGATCTGATGGGGTGTCATACGAAAGACTTGGAGGCATCATTTTGTTTGATCAACACTAGGCCGCAGAGAATTCGAAAAGTTCCGCATTGAAAAATATTTGATGACCAACCTGTACAGTTCTGAAACTCGACTCGATAAGGATTCAGGAATATTGAGCATCCATCGATCGAATGGCACCAGGAATATTTTATATGACGTCGAAGGATATGCAAAAAAATTGCCATCGACTCTCTAAATTTTTTTTGGTGCCCCCTGTATAGGCGACAATAATTTCTAGTTATAGATCTTGTTGCTCAGTTCACAATCGTTTTTTATTCATGTTTCTAGCTATCATAGGACACGAGCAATCGGATTCTGACACTATTGTCAGTATTGCCCCACCCTGTATACTGTATAATGAAATTTCAATATAGTTGTAGTGTCTTCCTGTATATTCAATCGAGATAGTAGTTAAACGTCGGTTGGACCACACGATATAGGAAAGGAAACCAGACTTAGATAAACATGTATTTTCTGGAAAACTTTCATTCTGCTCATAATGTAGAAAACTTTATCCAGAAGGTTATCCATAAAATATGAACGTGCCTGTGGGTAGGTATATCTACTGGAAGATATTTACATATCCAGCTTCTCGTATCTCATCCCATTGATGTTTCACATAGATACACTCTAAAAAGTCAGATGTTTTGAGAGATGTTGTCTAAAAAAGTGTAGTGTATAGCTGCTTCCATTCAGAGCCAAATAGGCTTTTTCACTTTACACAAGAACTTTTTTTGTCTCAGTAAACTTGACATTTCAATGAAAATTCCACACCAGTGATTCTCATACAGTTAAATAGGGTTTTTATGACAAATTAACATAGCAACGTATGTATTTTAGTGAAAACCCACCAGCGTATGATATCGGAAATTTTTATATGACGTTTTAATGACAGAATAATATTTTGACGTCCTAAAATAGTGATTATGTTGCCACTTCAATTGGGTAGAACTCAACAATTAATTGGCTTAAAATCCATTGATGCCCTAACTGCATCTATTATATAATATAAATATGAATATAATAGGTGGAAATCAGGAATCTATTATTGGTACCGAAACTGCGACCCAAACTAAATTCATTCATGAACCTGTATGCAAATCAAATGAACAAATAAACTCTGAAATTATTTAATTTCCAAACACAATCTGGTGTGAAATTTTCTTACCGAATACCACACGAGGTCAAATTACTTTCCGGAAATTTTTTCGAGCTCACGCATATTTTGAAAATTATTCCAAATCGAAGACCTCGTGTGGTATTACAAGTGAGAATTTTGTTGGCCGGAAATTAAACGAGAAAAATTGCCTTCGAATGAATTAGTCCGTAGGATGGGTATTTTTTTTTATATTATGTCAAGTTTACTTCGATCCAAGTTTTGATCAGTAAGACAAATCGATGAATAATTATGTTAATCACATTATTGTTGATGGTTTTTTCAATTTCTTCAAATCGCGACGTTTCTACAGTTTAGATTCTTTTTCGACAATGCAAGATCGTATGTATGTATGTATGTATGTATGTATGTATATGTGTGGGCGGTCCAGGACCTGACACACTTAGGTCTTCTTTTTCGGGCCCATTGTGCACCCACATTCCTGGGATCGCAAGTCAGCCATGGAGAAGGCCGATCTCGCGAGCAAAAGAGACCACCTTTCTAGGCCAAATCTTTCTAACATCCTCTGGGTCCAGGATACTGCTCCCAAAATGGATATCCCTTCCTACCACTACTGCTGGACATTCAGTGAGGATGTGAGTAGAAGTCTCTTCATCCTCTAGGCACCATCTGCATTCAGGATCCTCCACAATCCCGATCGTGCTGAGATGTTTGTTCAGGTGGCAGTGCCCTGTCAGAAGGCCCACCACCAGTTTCAGCTCCTTCCTGTTCAAAGCCAAGAGGGCATTGGTCTGTCTTCGTGACGGGTTTCCTATATGGAGTTTGGACTGCCTCATTCCAGGAGCCTTTCTCCAGCTGTCCTGAAACCTTTCCGTCAGGATTTCCTTCATCTTGAAGTTGCTCCAGGATCGAGTGACCCCTAAGATTGGCTCTGGGCCAATCACTGAACCCTTTGCCCTCTTTCTGGCTAGAACATCGGCTATTTCGTTACCTGGTACCCCTGAGTGTCCAGGGACCCACAAAAGACATACTTTGTTCGTTGCTGACAGCCTTTGTAGGCTATATATGCACTCTGACACCAAGGCGGAGGTCACCCTATACGAGGTGAGCGCTTTGATCGCCGCCTGGCTGTCAGTGCATATAGTGATTTGCTGGCTGTGATAGCCCCTTTCGATACAATGCAAGATTCTAGATTAATTTACATAAACGTCATCGAAGATATGTTTACAATCATTTTGATCGTCATGCTTTGAAATATTAGGTTGCCTTTCGTCGCTGGAAAAGTTAGAGCAAATTTTGTTCGCCGTCATACCGATAAAATAAGAAGAATTTGAAAATTAAGGTGATCCTAATAAAATGATATCGAGCTCAGGAAGACAAACTGATTTGTTCAAAATGATTCTTGATTTACATTTCTATCTACTTCTGATATACATATAATTAAGTAAAATATGAATTATGAATAGATTCGACAACGTGAGTAGGACGGAATGACCACAAAATATTTACCAAAATCTATGTCAATCAAAACCATTATAATGGGCTTATATCATAAAAAAAATTTATTTCATAATTCGATAGAACTCACCCAAACTAGCTCACCACCGCAAACCGTTTCTTGCTGTGAGCTCCCTACGTTTTATGAAAAATTATTGAAATCCCCGATTTCTCGGACCTCTGAAAACGAGGCGATGATGTGACATCAAAACACTAATACTGAAACAAGACTATTCCAGACAGAGATGAATGATACATGATTTCTGACAGAGTGAATTAGCGCGAGATCACAGTTGAAAGAAGTAATATATCAGTTGCCTCAGTCTCCGTCGAGCGTCTTTTAACTATGGCGAGATGAGGTTTCTACGTCATAAGAGGGTCCGTTTTCAGAAGGTACTATTATTTATGTCCAAAAATAAAACATTCCAGTTAATTTTTCGATCGCATTATGTCGTCAATCATTATGTATGTATAAAAGGATCATTATAAACATGGTTTGAGTTAAAAGTTCTACTAAGGTGTACACGCCCATTATATTCCAGATAGGCAGGTTTGAATAGGTAGCTTTCACTTTGTCCATATGTGTGTATGTACAAAACTGACCCGTGTGTGGTTTGTGTAGGCGTTATTAATTGACTTCATACGCCTCCTCAGAAGCGGCAATGTTGACTGATACCTATCGTAACAGTGAATCGTACGGCACCAACCCCTGCACTAGTCCCTAATATCTAATTTCTCTCAATTCCAGAAGCTCTCAGAGTGAAGAAATTCGTGGAAGCCTGCTCCAACTGCTCATCTTCCAACTCTTTGAAAACCTTGGAGACCTTGGGCCGACTGATGACGTACAGTCACGTGAGTCTCAGGGACCTCTACGAGTGCAGCCATCCGCAACTGGACTCTCTGGTGGACATGTCCAAAGAGTACACTTTGGGCACCAGGTTAACCGGAGCTGGCTGGGGGGGTTGTGTCGTTTCCCTCCTGTTGCCGGAGAGGGTGGAGGAGTACGTGGAGTTCTTGAAGAGGGAGTTTTATAAGGGGTTGGGGGTGGTCGATGGGTTCGCGGAGATTTTGTTCTCGACATCGCCGCAAGGTGGGGCTTGTATCTATTTGTAAGATTATCTGATATATTGTACGTATCAATAAAATTGTGTCTTCCAACTATTTGTTTTATTTGAAGGTTCATCGCCATTCATTCTGGGAAAATCGGAGATATTTGAAAAAACAAATTATAATAGTATACAGTTAGAGAAATGGTTGTGTATACTTAGTATAATAATCAATATTAATGAGTAAGACTCAGGCTATAGTATACAATTCAATCATTTAATAGCAACTCGAACGTTTTCGACACTAGGCCATCATCAGGAGAGTATATGTACATGTCAGAAGATAAGCATTAAAAACAATGTAAATTGAAATATTGAAATGGCACAATAGTAAAGTCTTCTGCAAGAATATATGACAAATACTCTCCTGGTGATGACCTAGTGCCGAGAACGTTCGACTTGCTATCAAATGATTATAATTGTATACTATAGCCTGAGTCTTACTCATTAATATTGATTATTTTAATAGTATAGGCTTTGTTGGATCGAATTTGAAACACCCTGTATGAAAATACAAGATGAATCGAAAAGTATGATACCACCATCAGCACACAGCACGAAATAATATATATAAATCCTTTATTTAGCAAATATTGCCACAATATTACGATTCTGTAGTTGCAGTTGCAATCATTAAAAAATATTGCAGAGATTTTGTATTTGTATTCAGCATGATTTCTATTTTGCAAAAGAGAGCAGTGCGATACATGTGTAAGGCAAATATCCTAGATTCCTGTAAGCCATTATTCATTGATAATAATATCTTACCACTACCTTGTATTCAAATTTTGGAAACAGTGTGTCTTATTCATAGTAAATGTGAATATAATAATGAAAGAATGTCACACTATAACACAAGACAAATACAGAATATAACAGTTCCATTACCGTCTATACTACATTCAATGAAAACTCTTTCATTTATGATGGAAAAAAACTATATAATCATTTACCAAACGAGATTAAAGACATATGCGACAAAAAAAATTCAGAATGACCGTTAGAAATTTTCTAATAAAGAAAGCCTACTACTCTATAGAAGAATTTTATTCAGACAAATTTTAACATGTTTTCCACTACATTTGATAGTCTGGAAGTTGCTACTGGCCCTCCTGATATCTCAAATGCTATGTATATGTAAGTATGTATATATATATATATACTATTGTAACAATCGCAAATGTGTTTCTTGCAAATGTGTTTTCGTTTTATTTGTGAATATGGAATTGTTGTCATATTATGTTTTACCCGAGATTTTACCCTTTAGGTACTTTACTTCTTAGGTTTTATTCTTCATAATGACTTTGTCAATAAGAATTATTTTCTTCAGACAATAAAGTATTTTTTGATTTGATTTGATTTGATTTGTATATTGCGATTACGGTGTTCTAAAATGACGCTGCAATTCAACTTGAACTAAAACATGCACCCAATCTTTATTGTTCTCTGACAAATATCACATACGATTGTTCATTGATTAATTCAAGGTGAATCATATAATGGTTGTAAAGGGTGATTACTCAAAAACTAATTGAGATATTGGAAACTTCAATCCATACTTTCAAGTCCAATGTTCTTCTCATTTGAATGCGGATCCCATACACAAGTGTGAAAATGTTTGAATTGATTTTAAAAAAAAAACAATATCTATTCTCTCTCTCCTTGGGGAGTACAGATACAAAAAAATGCATATGGTGGGATAAAAATGCATTATGCTATTCATCATTACATCATCAACTAAGTCAAAAATATAATTGAACATTCCTGGAGCACGTTTACTTCTGATTCTTTGTTGTTTTTTCGAATGATAATCTAATATAACAGGGTGAAGACCTAACACAATTTTTCCAGATGGAACCCACAATTTTCAATTCTGCTCCAAATCAAAACATAGCGGTCAAGAGTACATTTTTTTTTAATGAAAATTAAATGACATAAATAACCTAATAATTAACAACTTGACGAACCAATTAAGAAGAATTTCGAGCAACGAAGTTATGCAATTTCTTCAATATCTACTATCGAAAACAAAAAAAATTCACAATGTTCTTGGTAGTGTAAGTGTAGTATTTGCAATATTTGCATAACTTCCGTATTTCCATTCAATTTATTCAATCATTTTTTATTGTATTCTAAAAATACTGTGAAGTATAATTCTTCATTGGATTTTATTAACTTTTATATTCTTTCCCACCGTGTACCAAATTGAAGCAACATGACGTGATACTTACGGAATCTGTCTAGCAATGAAGAATCCAGAAATTATTACAAATGTGGTGTTTCAGTAGAAAAAAATACCGAAGACGTCATGATAACAAAGAATTTCACCCTGTATATTACATCATTGGTCCATAAAACAACATTGAAATCAAAAATCGACCAGTACTGGAACTCATTCGTGAGTCCAAAGCTCTACAGAATTTTCACTGATTCCGATCTCACAGTGTATCAGCAATGTTACATAGATTTACTCATGACGTATTTTTACAAGCAACAAGAATCCTCATGGAAAGAAATTCCCCCAAGTCGTTGAATCAACCGGAGCGAACTTGCCTTGATATGCAATATTGCTTTCTGCAAAATATACTAGAATTCGGCGGATGGAATGGAAGTTTGATGGATAAAACTCCTTGAGTAAGAAGACATCCGGACAAACAAAGAAACTGCGAAGTTTGCTGAGATGTAACCAGCAGCTTCAAGAAAGTTTCAAGTAATTTGCCGCTTACTGAATTCAACGAATTATCAGGCCTTACCTTCAACCCGTTTATATATTTGTTTGAGTTTGCACTGAAACATTGCTATAATTTCCTCCTGATAATTATAACTCGACGTATCGTTATTTAGAGAGTCATTATGAAGATTTGATATTGTCATGAAGTAGAAATACCTATGGAATAACATCACTTGAACTCGCGTTCATTTCAACTTTAACTTTTCCAAATTAATACCTCCAGTACAGCGTAGTTTCGATCAGGTCAGTGGAGTTTATAGACATAAGTTCCTGTAGAATTTGCAAAAACCGCTTACCGTGCGATAATAGCTAGGTAAGCGATATCGAAAGATATTGGCTATTGCGACAATATTAAACAACATTTTCAGGTGGTAAAGATCTGATTTTTGAATTGACTCAGCCGTAACTGGATGGAAATCCATAGTCTTGTCCATAATGAATGTCAAAAACTTTCCGAACAAAAAGATTTACACACAATTCCTAATCACACGATATGGTTCGCTAACATAGTAGCCTCAGATGAAATACTGGTGCAATAAATTTAACTTTCATTGACTTGCAAAACTTTCATATCCTACTTACCCAATCTGAAGGATCAAAATTACATGTGTAAAGATTCGATAAACCTCCATTTTCGGAAAGTAGGCACAATATCTACAGTAAAATAAGGTGTTTTATACTGTTCCCACATATGGGGTTCAGCACCGAAACATACGCTGATGCTCTTAGATTCCATCCAGAGAAGAGCCATTCGCCTGGTGGGTGACGCCACACTCACTCACTCTTTGACATCATTGGAACACCGTAGGAAGGTCGGCGTCCTTTCACTTTTCTATCGATACTTCCACGGGAAATGTTCTTCGGAAATCTCTGCTATCATCCCTTCACTAGCAATACCAATCAGACGAACCAGACAAGCCCAGTCAGCACATCCTTTCGTTGTCAACCTCGAAAGATGTCGAACAGCACTTTATCAAGACTCCTTCATCCATAGAACGGCTAGGCTCTGGAATTCATTGCCTGTGGAAGTATTCCCAACAACATATAATCTCCAAAAGTTCAAAAAAAATTCCAATACCTACCTCTTGTCCCTATCCTCCCTAGGAACGCACGATGTTCTTTGAACATTATAGGGATTCCTTTTCGTGCGCTCCAAGCGATAAAAAAAATACTAAGGAAAAAAATCAACAGCGATGCATTTTCGAGGTCTAGTTGATCATTGAGTAGAATATCAGATTTCAACGTATTCTGATTTGCAATGATTCCAAATAGAGTTGTGTTGCTTTTTCAATGTTAATATTGAAATTCAACATTTGAATGTAGATAGCCTGCCTACTTTCCGAACATGAAGGTTTGTCGAATAATTCCTTAGGTGATTTGAATCCTTCAGGTTGGGAAAGTAGGAAATAAAAGTTAGGCAAGTCAATGAAAGTTTGGTACACGGAAAAAAAGGATTTGTTGCATCAACAAATTATTTATGCTTGAGTTATTTTTGTTGGACTGAGCAATTTTTTGTTGAATTAACCAGATACATGATCATTCCATGGAAGCAGCTTGTTCAAATCAAGAATGTAGTCTAATTGAATCAACAGTATAATATCAATTACATCAACAAAATATATGGTTTGTTCAAAAACAAATTATGTCGATCCAATATGATGTCGATGTTGATTCAACTATAAACATTTCGTTGATATGATCAAACAATGATCATTTTGAGGAGAATATATCTTTGAAACAACATACAAGTTGTCTTATTACGATGTATCAATGAACTCGTTTCGAACGAATTTTGTTCATTCAACATCAACTTAAATTTTCGCCTCTAGATGAAGCCTGATTCTTCGTGTTTGAAATATCAGCTGGATAGGTCGAACTTAGGATGATTAGCAATCCGAAATAGTTTTCCATCAGCTAAAGAGAAGTAAAGACTGAAGATCTATGCTAGGAGTCGACTAATTTCCTAGTTTTGTTTATTCTATTGATGTGAAATTTCAGAAGATTCTCGAATATTGAATTTGGTTCAATAAAACAATTTGTCGAATGGATATATAGTTTCTCTTGAATAAACAAAATATTTCATTGAATTAACCAAATATATCATTGAATAAACCAAATATTTCATTGAATCAACCAAATATTTCTTTGAATCAACCAAATATTTCGTTGAATCAACTAAATATTTGATTGAATCGATATTTTGTTATTTTGAATCGATCAAAATGTTTGTTTGAGTCAATTCAATATATCTTCATGAACAATTCATGGATTTGCTTGATTGAAGAAAATCCAGAGTTCATGCAAGACATATTTACTTGA